AAAAAAATATATGGGGTCGTTTTAGAACTCACACAAATTTAAGGTAAAATGGTATTTATCTAGCACCGCAGGGAAAAGTGTTGGGTTCTGTTATTCCCAATTCTCACTCATGACAAGCAGAATGCGGTTAAACTTGTGCTAGGAATATTAGGAGAAATAGGGCAGTTACCAGAAGTTTGGAGACTTTCTGGAAATTATAATTACTTAATTGCAATAATTTGGTATTAGACAAACCCCAAGGCTTAGTTGGAAAGCTAAAGAAAAAAAAATTGTCAAATAAGAACTTGTTTCACTGTAAAAATCTTAGTTGCTTTTGTGGTTGGAGGGAGGGAGAGAGAGAGAGAGAGAGTTTTTTACTGCAGACTTTCTTCCAAAATCAGTTTGTATACTAGCAAAATAAAAGTCCCCAACAGATCTATTTCAACCATAATATGAAGCCTTGTTTGACTTTTAATAAGAGTAAAAAAAAAAAAATCCAAAGCTGGTATTACACAACAGACATGGTTTACAAGTTTCAATTAGGTAGTGGTTAAATTCTCAACTCTTCAGTGAAACATTAGGTTGATAAATACTCCTCAGCCAGTTCCTTAGGTCTAATAAACTTTCATCTACTGTGATCTTACTAGACTGAGATAATTTTAACAGATGGAGTATATAAAAACCTATAGTTCATAGTATGTTTTCTCTTAGCACTCAGCTTATGAGGACTACATCTCCCAAGATGCAATACTAGACACTACCCTGCCTACTACTCCACTCAAAGTGACTAAGCATTTGTTTCCTAGGAATCTGTCTCTAATTAAATAACGCTGTATACATGACTGGCATGTAATAAGGGTGGGAGGGTTGAACGCATGTGTGTGCGTGTGTGCGTGCGCGTGTGTAGCTTGAGAGAAATGGGGAACCAGCAGGTTGGCTTCTTCAAAACATAACTCACTCAGGAAGAGAACGGAATTTTTAGATTGCCATAGAACTTAGATTTTTATATAAGGGTGTAGAGAATGAGGAGGATACACTTTTTTTTTTTTAAGTCATCTTTCAGCCAGGCATGCTTGTTCTGTTCTCAGTAGCAGAGGGAGGCTAACAAATTTTTTTTTTTTTTTTAGCTGAGCCATCCTGCCACCTGTTGGCAGCTCAGCTCGGGCGGGCATCAAACCTCTGTTGCTCAGAGCTCACACTCTCGAGCGAGCTCTTAACCAACTGAGCCACTCGGCCGGCCCTTGCAACTTTTTATTTATAATCCAGTTCCAATGATTTTGCAAAGTAGTTGCAGTTCTTTTTGGAATTTCTGGTAATAGGCTGACCTTGACTTCATGCCTAGTTTCACTGTCATTCTAAATTTTCACCTTTTAATTTTGTTTATGTCTCCCAGTTTTTACACTGCTGGAACTCTGTACTTGGTAGGGGTGTTAGAACTATTTGAAAACTGGAACGCTAATCTCTTTATTTATATTTAAACCAGTGGTTCTCAACACGCTGTCCCTGGACCAAGTAGAATCAGCTTCACTTCAAAACTAGTTAGAAATGTAAATTCTCTGGCCCCACACCAGAACTGCTGAATTAAAAACTGTGTTTTAACAAGCTCTACATGCTGACATCCGAGCACCAAAATTAGTCCACTCACCTTTTCCTGTTAAAAAGAAAACCAGACAAGTGAAATCAGAATGTCTGGGGGTGGAGACTGGGCTTCAGTGTTTTTAGAATACTGATACAAATGTGCAGATAATTTCTAATGCTCAGAGTGGGTAACCACTCATGAAAATCTTCAGACTGTAGGGATTGAAATGTCCTACTTCATACAGTGTATTTTTAGAATTTCAAAGAACATTAGCAGGACCTCATTTTATAAATGGGGAAACAGCGTTCCTAGTTGAGATGGATTTCTGCCGTCTCATGAAGCCACGTGTTTATTACTGCTGAGGCCTAGGACCAACTCTTGTACTTCTTTGTGTTCCTAGCAGCAGAGCACAGTGTTTATATTGTGAGTGTTTATACTTAGGTATTGGCTGGCTGCATAAAAGGAAACACTCTACGAAGAGGCAGTTATTTACATTCTTTGCATACAGTAGACATATGGTTTTGCTGAAAATATTCCACTCCTTCATGCACAGAACCTAGTAGGTTTGAGGAAATATCAATGGCTAAGGCTCAGATAACCTCCACACGCAGAAATATCCACGGCTCCTCTTTTTACAGTTGAAGTGTTTTGTGGACACGAGAGGCAGCTCCTGGCACCAAATTCTGGCTGATAACTGCCCAGTGGACACGATTCACAAGTCTCAAGCCCATTGGATGAGTAGGTGCCTTGTTTACACTGAGCTATAAAGAAAGAAGTAATATAGTTAATAATGATGATATGAAGCTGTCCAAAATTAGCACTGTGTAGGACAGGGTTTTCTGCATTGTGATTTATTTAGGACAGAATGAGGGACATAAAGAACTCGAGGCATACACGTTGTATTTTAGACCTCCTCACGCTTCTGTATACTAGTAAGTTTCAGACTCATTTCCGGTTACTTCCGTCATTGCCCAGCAAAGCGTTTTGACACATCGAACGTGTCAATAAATAGTTTTGGAGCGAAATTTGAAATCTGCATCTCAGAAAGTCACTATCATAAGAACAAGCTGTGCACAGGGCGAGGGGCCGGTGGGGGGGGGGACTTGTTCTTGTACAAGTTCTCAGCTTGTACACTGTTCTCTTGGGTGACAGAAACAAAACCCCAAATTGAGCTAGACCCTCATCACGGAGCTGGCACCTTTGTGGCTTTCAATGAAAACTGGCCCTCCTACCTCCAGACACCATTTCAGTTGAGGGCCGGCAGAGGAGAAAGGAAAGATAATCTTAGCACCAGGCCCAGAGAGGTTAATTAAGCAACTTTCTAAAATTCATTGCAATGGTTTTGTAGTAGAGGAGGACTAGGGTCAGGTTCCCTGACTCCAAGTGCTGTCTTTTCCATTTGCCCTTGGCCTCCAAATATGACTCTCACTGTCAGCGTTGCTCCCAGCACTGCTGCGAGTTTCTATTTGCCATTACGCGTCCACGCCTGCATTTGCAACAACAGCAAGGAGGCACAATTTTGAAATTCCTTCTTTTAGGCATGTCCTATTATAACTTCAATTACGATAGAAAATGTTTCCATCAGGAATGTTCATTGAGAATAACAGTAAAACATTTTGAAAATATTGAATATTTTGGTAGCAAGAACACATGCATATATGTATCAGTAGTTATTAATTTCCAAGTAAATGGAGAGTTGATCCCATCAAATCAAATATTAGTCTAACTAAAAAGCAACCCAAAGATAAGTGTTATGCAAGTCCTCTCTACCAATTAAAGTGATAAATCCAGGCGAACTGATGAATACCAATTGGAATTATTGACAGTCGTGCTGATTTAGAGCAACAGAATGTTCCAAAAGGAAAGAAAAATGTGCCTAGGACTTCTTTAAAAGTGGGAAACATTCAGGTAATATAATCAAAAGAAAGAAAAAAATAATAATGCAATTGCTTTTGGTAATGCTGTTATATCATTCTATTTGCCGTTTAGATTTCATAACTGGAGACAAAAATTCAGGCTTCTTCTGTTCAAAATGTGCAGGAAGCCCCTACCTTTACATTCCGAGATGCTTCTTGAATGGAGATATTCGGTGTAAGTCCCATTCGGACAGAGTTTGCACTCGAGTTGCCCTTCTTCATCTTGATAGGATGCCATAGAGCAGCTTTCACAGACAGAATGCTGCAGAGAATAATATGTCCCCAAAGGACAATTCACTGGAGAAAAAACAAACAGGAAACACTGAATATGGCAAACAACAGGAATGGAAGACACACGGGTTCTTTCCTCCTAAGGCATGAAAAGTCATGGAGCCTGCTTCCAGGTACTACTGTTTATGGGTTACATTTTCTGCCAGAGGTTTACAAGATAAACCTTCCATAAATACAGTCCTAGAAACCAACGGTAGTAGATTCTTTTTTTTTTCCCCTCTAACAAAAAGTAAACTCTTGTTGACCAAGCTTTGGGTTTATATAATGGAGGGTTTAAAATGTGGATCAAAGCTATGATAATAGACCAAATTGTCCTGAGAAAGGCATAGCTAACAAAGAAAATTCTTCTGGGAGAAAAGGATAGAACAATAAATGTTTAGGTTAATTTGAGGCTTTGAGATATTAAAAATGGGTTCTTAGCTGTCTCTTTGAATGGCTCCCCTCATAAAACTGACTGCCGTCCATTACGGCATCATTTCTGGAAACAAAAACAAGCAAAGGTGGTGGTGAGCCTAAACCAGGTGAGTTAAGTGGACCCTTGTTTCTGCTTACCGGAAGTACTACCCACTCAAGACAAGTCCAGACATTCTCAGAGCCAAAGGCCCCAAGCAAACGGCCAAGTTTAGGATCTTCCTTCCTTGGAGATTTGTCTACCATTTGCCAGGGATGGAGCGATTTTTTTAGGCCAATCTGGGACATTAAACCCACTGGAAGGCTGCTAGCAAGGGTAGTATTCTTACAGAGAAGACACATGAAATAAATACCTCGGTGATTTTGAGGTGGTCAAGTGTGTAAGAATTGCCTGGGAGCTTAGTAAAATGCAGATTTCATGGCCCTGTCCCCAAAGTGCCAGATGCATAAGTTCTGGGATGGGGCCTGAGTCAAGGTGCATTTCAACAAGTTCTTCAGGTGATGCTGACACAGGTAATCTGAAGACCACACTGAAAATGTGAGACGCTGGTCAAGGCGACTCCTGATTTTTACTCACAAGGTGGGGAGGAAACCAGAGCAGGCTCAGCCTGACAATTTTAATGTGCTTTTGTTAGGCTGAATTGATCACACTACGAAAAACCCAATTGAGCTCTGGGAGTAGCCCTGAGACCTGCTGAAGAAGGTTTTCTGACCAGGATGCAAAAGCCCACGCCCATGGAGAGATTAACGGAAGACTCATGTCATGTGGTCCAGGTGAGTGTACCGAGTTTGGTTCTGGAGGTTCCGTTATCTATAAATGATGACTTATTTGGGAAACAGGCTGGAATTGATCCAGGTTGTGGCAGTCTAGAATAGGGGTTAAAAGTTAAGGGACTGGGGGGAAAGAGAGATGGAGTGACTGCTTCATGGGTATGGGGTCTTCTTTGGGGGTGATGAAAATGTTTGGGAACTATGATAGAGGTGATACTTGAACAACACTGTCAATGTACCACTGAATTGCACACTGTAAAATGGTTAATTCTACGCTATGTGAATTTGGCGTTGGCTGCCCAAATGGGAATCTTAGTGATGCCACTTACTATCTTAATGGGTTTAGACTTACCGGGTAAGTTCTTAGCCTCTCTGGCTTCAGTTTTCTCATATGTAAAAGGTACTTAATCAAAATGGTGCCTCACATAGTTGGTAAACAGGATTAAGGATGAGATGGGCTCAGCTAACATACAGAAGTGACCAAAAAGTTATTAGTTACTATCGGAGCTGCTGTTGAAAACTGTGAAGTCTAAAGATCCGTAAGTAAAAACTAAGATTTGAGTCCCTCATCTAAAATAGTTTTCTTGCCATGACCAATAATGGTTATTTACACTTTGGGGACACAATAGTAATAACAACAACCACACAACAAGAGCAAAATGTATGTTTCACATCAATATCCCGTTACCATTGTAAAACGGCTCTTCCCTTCTCATTTAACCTAATACACGCCCAATATTGTGATTGCAGGGAAATGTCTTACCACACATGCGCCCTCTGAGCACCGAGCCCGGTCTGCAGAAGAGAAAAGCCCTTTCCGTTTCTAAAGAATTGCTGTCGGCTACCAGAATTTCCGATGCAAGCTGAAAGGTATACATGGGATCCTCATTGAAGGACCTTTTCAGCTGATTTGTGATAGTTTCCAGGGTCTTAATGAGTCGTCGCTGATTTTCCAATTCAAGGGTATCATTTCTTTCATCAGGTAATGGCACACTAGCTAAGATAAAAACAAGACAAAATAAAACATAACACATGGCGTTTCAGGAAGCCATTTGTAGTTAGTTTTTTACCAAAAAGAAATGACACTTTAAAAACCTTCCAAGAAAAAAGAAACTCAAAGTCAATCACTACTTACTAAGCAACTAATGCATAGATAATATTAACAATAGGCTGTGTTTTAATCCTTCTCTCAAATGCTGGATCTTTACCACTTTTGGCAGAGTTCTTCATTATAGCATATTAAATTCCCATAAATGCTCGCTTTTTAAAAGCGTGCCTTAGTTTATCATGCCAAGATGAGAACCAAGCAGGGTTCTCATCATAAAATACACCTGTGATATTAAATTGCAAAAAAATGATGAGGCTTTGGTGATTGTGCTCTCCCTAACTTTTCAGTTCCAAGGTAATGATAACAAATGGATGGTTCGAGAACTAGGTCTCCAATCAAGGATTCCACTTTTTTTTTTTTTAACCAAATAGACAGTTTGTCCTTACCTGTGATGTTAAAAATTAACTTAATTTTGTGGTCAGTTAATGGGGTACTTCTTTTCATCCGTGAAGATCTGGCTTTGCCGGCACCTGTGGGTGTTTCTTGCACAGCATCCAAAAAGTCATCGTAAGAGTAATCCAGCCTATTAGCTGCACCCCATCCTCCCGGTCCTGGACATGTGGAGCATTGAAACAAATAATTCTCCAGTTGTATCTTTATCAGTGTTTAGTTTCTAATGTTAAGTCACAAGTCTAACTGCCCTTCACCATTGCTTAAATTGTCCATAATGCACCGCAATACAGGGTTTCATCTATAATCAGACAGTAATTTTTAGGCACTTCATTAGATTACCAGTGAATTACATTAAAAGTAGAAAGAAAAGTTTC